TGCCAGTGATTTGATCCATTCAAGATCATGACGTCCTAAGGATGAATTTCAACTTCAATTCGCAGGACAGCTACTATGTATATCCTATAGCGAATAAAGAAGAAATCAATTTATACGTAAAATAATCGAATATATATATACATATGTAATCAAGATGATTTTCAGCGATTTGATGTGTGAACGACCGACCCACTTATCATCAGAATCATTTTTTAAAACCAGAAAAAAAGAGTTGATGGTTCGAATTATTCCCCCTTCAATGGCCAAGACAAAACATAATTATTCCCACATCAAGAACGAGAATTACGTGGGAATCGTTCCGTTGTCGGATGGATGTTTGTCGTCTGCGATGTGTTCCTTTGCGGTATGGACAAAACATCAATTGCTTTTTTAGCCTAAATCACTCGTCACGATTTCTTGATTTAGTAGCAGCATCTGCCCAATGCCATTATATACTTATTATCTGATGGGTATTTTTTCCCATTAGGAATTAAATTCCCAATAGGCAATGATGATCCCACATGTCCCCAACATATAAAAATTGCCCAAAAAAAATAATACACGGGGAACAATTTAAAAATCGAACTTAAATTATTAAAATGAATGTTCTTCCGCTGTCCCATTCATGGGAAAGCAGACAAAAGGAAAGATATATTTCACCCCGAAGTGTCTCCAACCCAAGGAAGGATTCCACTTGCCAAGGGACCTGATCAAGCTCCAATTTCTTGATCTTGATATTGACTTGTAGAAGCTCAGATGCTACGCATCTAATCATTTACGTGTACCCATTATTCCTTGACTTTTCACTAAAGTAAAAAAGAACAGAAAAAAGTAGACATCTTGAGCAAGTTCCAAGTTCACCCACTTGGCCATATCAGCAACAATTTGAAAAGTGAGTAAGGGGTGGATAAGCCCAATCTAAATCATGGCCACATAGTTAATGACACCTAGATTCTTTTTGGGTCCCATCTTAACCCTCTTTCATCAAACCACATAGCATATTCCAAATTCAGTTGGTCCTTCTCATGCTAATTTTCCCTCATCTTTCGTATTTATAATGCTTGTACTTTCTCTTGTTTTGTAATTTACTGGGACTTGATCCACTTTTGAGCAAAACAAGTACCAAAATGAAGTAATTTAAGTTCAATGAGAAGGGATTGAGAAAGATCAAACTCCTTTTTCCTTCTCGTATGCTTTAAATCGTTTGCATCAATGCATAAAGAATGGAACCAAATTTTGATGCCTATCTGAAGTTGACATCTTGTGCAATCAAAGTGCCACTCGCCGGGGAGAGACACACTGGCCCCTTTAGCAAGAGCCAGAACAAAAGGTACTTAAAAAAAAGCGAAACCAAACCCCACTTGGTGTCTGTCAAGCATTTGGTAAAAAAGCATTTGATCCTATGACAATTATCATTGTTAGTGTTATTCAGAGTTAGGAGTGGATATTTTCAATGCCTTAGAACCCAGCAAAAATGAAAAGACTGATTGAGAATGAGAAAAATCTGAAACCACTAGAAGCACTTGTACTTTTGCCTCGCATCATCTTTCACTAGCAAAAAGTAAACACGCACATCCTTGTCCACCCAGCTCTCAACCCCAACATTGAATTAAGCAGCAAAAGGAGAAGAGAAGAAAGAGACCAGCTCTCTCTACTTCATGATCAGGACCATTTGTGAAGATCCCACAAGTTGATGAGAGAAAATGATGCGGGTCATGAACTTTTCTTTCCCTTTCTCTCCTCTCACCATATTATAATCTGCACTCTCCAATGGGAGCATCGCTTTGGAGTGTGATTTTTTGGTGACCCTTTTGCCTAATCTGGTCCGGATTCAGTGAGATCTCTCATGATGAAGGGAAAAGAAGCTGTCAATTAAAGCAATCAAATTAATCATTTAAGGGTTTAAGGAACCTCGAAGACATTGGGGATGTCATTGGTCGTACAAGTTGGGAAGGTATGGGGCTCAACTTTAGTTGTCTTTTTAAGTGGTGAATAATTTAGCCAAACCTTAACTTATATCCATTTCCTCGTAACGAGCAACTATGGAGAACAGAACCAGAAAGAGAGCTCAGGCACGAGGGATAGCTACAACTGAGGGGAAAGAAAAGCATATGCAATCTGTAATTAAGAGTTTTTAATTATATCCTTAGAAAGTTCCTTGTATTGGAATTAGGTGGCCAACTAATACATCAATGGTTTAAAAAAGAGAATTTCTTGGAGCCAAATATGAGTGGGATTTAATGTAGTTCTTGTGCTTGTCCTTATCATCCAGAGGAAAACTTTAACAACCAATGCCCTTGAATTATCGCATACCGCGTGCCATTATCTTATGTAAAAGATATATCGCGAATCATTGACATGTGAAGAGATAAGCCAATAGAAATAGCACGGATTCATTAGTATCAGGAATGAGAACGTAAAATCACCCAATGTCCTCGAGTTGTCGTGTACAGCGTCCATGCTCAAATAGAGAAATTATTCCATTTAATAGTTGCATCACGAACTATTGACATGTGAAGAAATAAGCTAATCAATAGTGAAATTTTTTTTAAATGAATAGGATAAAAAGTCATTCTTTTATTTGACTCCCGGTTAAAACAGCGCAGATTAATTAATACCAGGAATGACATTGAAAGAACAATTGGCCATATCAATACGAAAACTCAAGAGATAGTTTTAAAGGCTACTAAGTCAATTTCAAGAAAAAAAAGAGTCTCTTCCACGTATCTTCACATGGGCTGAGCAATACTTCGATTGATGGGAATCAGAGGATTTGGTTCAAAATGGACTAATTCAGCCAAAATAGTCTTCGATTGGCGTTTCATTAGTCTTAGACGACTTAATAATTTTAGTCGTTTTTCAAATGGACACCGACAGATCTTTGATTAACTGGATATCCTAGTAAACCAAGCAACCTATGTACTTCACATTTTTGCACTTGGTTCCTAACGCAAGAAAAAAATAAAAAGGAAAAGGAAATTTTGACTCTAACATGAACAGACCCTCATAAAGATATGACAACTACCACCTTATCAATTTGATCCAAAGTTCATGAATGTAGCAGCTGATGAATACTTTGGAATGGGGGGAAATCTGAGGAACAATGGAATTGAAGGATCGTGCAATCTTTATGGCCGGATCTATCGTTTTCTTGTCCATGGGAAGTAGCTCGAGCATTCAATTCCGAGCAAGTACGTCTGCCTAATCCCATTACAATGCCCGCTCGCTAGAGCTCATTGTGTAATGGTAACATCACATAGCATGCCGATACGGCGTCACTAAATTGGATTAACTTAGGATGTTCTCTTTCAAACTCGCGTGACATCCGTAATCACGTTAGTTTTCCATGTGTATGGATGAGATGACATTCGATTAAATGCTGACACCACGTCTCATGCAACGTAATACAAATTTTGAACATGTTACCCTTTTCCAGCTCGTGAAGTTGTTGATCAATTAAATGCTGGCTCTACCATCAATGTTCGTCAGCTCATGTCATCGAGGTAGGTTGAAATCGGACCCCTCAAGAAACCGCATCTCCAATTCAAATTAAGTATAGTCCGCGACCCAAATTGAATATAAAAGATCCTAAGAACAAAGTTTTCCATCTAATTGTAGGAATAGGGAAACCGGATGCTTAAAACGCAGGGAATAACTTGATCCTTTAAACGCCCTCCCTCGCATGTAAGTACCACCTGGCAACCTTTTGACTTCTATCGAAACGAAAGACTCTTCACTATATTTAGCTCTCTCGTTGAATGTGTGATGAATAGCGCGGCAAATAATGTAATGCTCATGTTACGTGATGCATAACTTGTTGGTACGAATCTTCCTAGACTCTTTGGCTATATTTGGGGATATTAATTTTTCCCTCATTCCTTGTTCTTCTTTGCCTTTTGTTCCTTGCTTTGGTTGTAGCTATATGAAACGGAGGCGATGGGACCGAGGCCACCTGATCATTGTTAATTAGATGAGGCCATTATTAGAAAAATTAGGCGGTCGCAATAGAAAGGTACTTTGCCTTTAATTCTAGCCGACCATGGCCTATCCCTAAATGGGAAAGCCATGCTGCGCACGCACTGCGAGCATTCAAAGCGAAGCACGAGACTAACCCTTATCCGAAGGAGGGACCATGGACTTAGATCAATGGATGGGAAAAATGACGTGTAAATTACGTTGAGAGTTGATGACATGATGGTATTGAGATATTATTTTGGGTGTTGATATGTCAACGAAAAAGCACTTCAATCTCTTCTTCTTCGTTTTGTTTTCTTATAGCTTTCACATTCGGGCAACTGGACATCTCATCCACCGCAAAAAGAAAATTCAAACTTTTAGCGAAGATTTAGGTTGAATTTCTTGACCAAGAAAAAAATTTACGTTGAATTCAAATCGGAAATATGATTGTGCAAAGTGGGAATACAACTAGGAGGGGAAAAAGGGTTGCCGAGGAAAATGTCTGCCAAGTTTCATACAGACGGAAACACCTCACGTTGGATCGGAATTCTATTCGGAAACGGGATTTCTTTTCTAAGGCCGTGGTCGCAAATTTCATGCCATTGTCACGTCGGTGAGGTCGTGAAAATTCAAAAAAAAAAGTTATTCGTGTCGTTATAATTTAACTTTTATATATATATATATAGGAAGAAGCAGGAGACTTTGTTACGTATTCTATTAATTTTCTTTTCTTTGAAAGAAAAAAAAGAAAGGAAGAAAATCTGGCATCACTAAATGGCCTTCCATGTTTAGGGTTACGATTTGTGCTTCAAGAATCAAGAAAAGATTCCAAATTCTTACAAGAATCTTGCTTACATTACATTAAAACTCAAATCGAAGCCTCCACCGGGTCTGGTCCGACTCAATACAGATATATATATATATACGGTCCTTGTTGCTCCAAATATATATTAATCTTTCTTCTGACACTCCACCTCGGTCCTTGGTTCCGATCGCCATTAAGCCAACAACGAGGTGCCTCGCCGACCCGTCTCTTCCATGGTTATGGAGGCTCAGTTAACGCCGCCGCCGCCGCAGAGATCGAGGAGGAGCCCCCTGACCCGGCTCAACGACTGCGTGGCGGGGAGCTGGGTCGGGAAGCGGTTCAAGGTGTCGGAGCGGAACACGACCTTCACCACGGAGCTCCGGGCCGGGACCGCCACCTTCCTCACCATGGCCTACATCCTCGCGGTCAACGCCTCGATCCTGACGGACTCGGGGGGGCCGTGCTCGGTGTCCGACTGCGTGCCGCTGTGCTCGGACGCGGCCGTATCGGTGAGCAACTGCACGGGGCCGGGCCTGCAGGTCCTCCAGCCCGACGCGTCGTGCAAGTTCGACCCGGTGAACCCGGGGTACACGCTCTGCCTGGAGAAGGTGCGCAAGGATCTGATCGTGGCGACGGTGGCTTCCTCGCTCATCGGGTGCGTCATCATGGGGACATTCGCCAATTTGCCGCTTGGCTTGGCCCCTGGAATGGGGACCAACGCCTACTTCGCCTACACGGTGGTCGGGTACCACGGGTCGGGCAACATATCCTACCAGAGCGCGCTGGCGGCCGTCTTCATCGAAGGCCTTATCTTCCTACTGATCTCGGCGGTCGGGCTCCGGGCCAAGCTCGCGAAGCTCATCCCGAAGCCCGTCCGAATAAGCTCGTCCGCGGGAATTGGTCTCTTCCTCGCGTTCATCGGGCTACAGAACAGCGAGGGGATCGGGCTGGTCGGGTACAGCTCGTCGACGCTGCTGACCCTCGGGGGCTGCCCGAGCTCGTCCCGCGTCTCGCTCGCCCCGGTCGAGACCGCCGCCAACGGCACGGTAAGCCTGCTCGCTGGGGGCACCGTCTCGGCCGACATCTACTGCCTCCGGGATCGGATGGAGAGCCCGACGATGTGGCTGGGGATCGTGGGCTTCGTGATCATATCGTATTGCCTCGTCAAGAACGTCAAAGGCGCCATGATTTACGGCATTGTATTCGTAACGGCCATCTCGTGGTTCCGGAACACGAGGGTCACGGCGTTCCCGAACACCGAAACGGGCGACGCGGCCTACGCCTACTTCAAGAAGGTGGTGGACGTGCACGTGATCAAGAAAACGGCTGGGGCGTTGAGCTTCAAGAACATCGGCAAGGGCTTCTTTTGGGAGGCCTTGGTCACGTTCCTCTACGTGGACATATTGGACACCACGGGCACGCTGTATTCCATGGCCCGGTTCGCGGGCTTCGCGGACCAGAACGGGGACTTCGAGGGCCAGTACTTTGCGTTCATGTCCGACGCCACTTCCATCGTGGTGGGGTCGCTGCTGGGGACGTCGCCGGTGACAGCCTTCATCGAGTCCTCGACGGGGATCAGGGAGGGCGGGAGGACGGGCCTCACGGCGCTGACGGTGGCCGGCTACTTCTTCCTGGCCTTCTTCATAACGCCGCTGCTGGCCTCGATCCCGGCGTGGGCGGTGGGGCCGCCGCTGATCCTGGTGGGGGTGCTGATGATGAAGTCGGTGGTGGAGATCGATTGGAACGACATGCGGCATGCCATCCCGGCGTTCGTGACGCTGTTACTGATGCCCTTGACGTACTCGATCGCGTATGGCTTGATCGGCGGGATCGGGACATACATCGTGTTGCACTTGTGGGATTGGAGCGAGGAATTGCTGGTGAAGTTTGGGGTGGTCGGCGGCGGTGGCGGCGGCGGCAGGGGTGGGGTCAACGGTTCACATGGTCAGCCCAAAGAAGATGGAAACGCCCTCAAGGCCGTGGAGTTGGAACCTTAGAATATATCACTCAAGAGGGAATTAGGTCACTTTACTTTTCTCATTTTTTTTTGGGTTCTCTCTGTCTCTCCTATTTTTCAAATACCCATTAGGAATATTCAACATCTTAGATAGTTCCTTTTCACAAAATTGGGGCAAAAGAGAGTGGATTCATGAATAAATCGTTGTACATAGACTACTATGCCTCTACGCCAAGCTTCTATGAATTCTGTCCAATTCAGCATTAAACACGGTCGTGAAGTTGCATGTTACATGTGTCAGATCCAAAAGGAGTCGCTTCCAAGCTCGCATAACACGAGGTCTCTTCATGGTCCTACTTGAATGCATATAAAAACTATATTGGCCGAGAGACAGGGAAAGGGAGATTTAATAAGGGAGAGTACAGCTTGATAACACTAGATCGTTGGCATTTTCTGCATTCCATAGCGCTTCACATGAAAAGACCCTCCCGAACCACTTCGAAAGTTTCTCGTCCAATCAGCCAAAGCTGTCGATGACAAGCGAAACCAACATGTCTTGGGCAAATGAAAACAAACTAAAAGCAAGCAACGAGTCCCTTGCGTGCCAGGGAGGGACATTGTGAGGAACTTTGAAAGCATTATGTACATTATTATTTGATTTGGGGAAAAACTACCAAAGATAATTCGAAAGGTATGTTTTTGGAGCTTGGCTTTTGTGAATTATATTATTGTTAGCTCATCCCTATGTCATGATGACTCATGTACTACTTTTCAGTTCTGCAACTGTGCAAGGAGTTTCGGATCTTGACTCGACTTTACTCCCCTCAAGAGAACTACCATCGTTAGAATAATCTGAAAGGGTAGAGATAGGGCTAGCTTGAATCTTGAATCTCAGGGTAAGATATAGGTTAAAAAATATGATTCAATGCCGCATAAAGTTTTGAATCTAAGTTCCAACGAGGGTCCTCGCAAATTGTCCATATCTCTTGAAGCAGACTCCACGGATACATTCCTTATTTTAACGTGTCAATATCCGCACGCCTCGTACCCCAAATTCTTCCTATATCTTTATTTTTCCTAGGAAGAGAGAGCACACTCTTCAAATTTTACATGCTGATGATCTCGAAGTCCTATCTGTCAAAAAGAAGTAGACATAGCAAGTTCCAAGATGGTGGTGAAAATACTTTGTGCCTTTTCTCTTTATTAATTTTTTTATTCAAGAGAATAAAATGAAAAAAAAAAAAGGTTTCTAGACATGAGTTTTATCTAAAGGGATATTGCAGCTGGAAGAGAACAAATTGCCACGCGTGTTCAGTCATCTCTAAATTGGCATCCGAAATCAGACCTAACTAAAATATTACGAACGCCACTCAAAAATTGGATGGAGTTGGGATCTTGGTGTATCGCTAATGGGAGATTTCTTTTCCTTATTTAAATTATGACTATCATCCGCGATGAATCACATCATTATAAAGGTCGAATAATCAATTTAGAGAATATTCGCATCATGTATGTTTGTCGCAAGCTATCATCACATCCGGCAATCCATATATAAGAAATGACTATTTACTATGTTATATAATGACTTGATTAATGGGGCCCTGAACGTACAAATCGGATCACTATAGTGTATTCTATCGACTCATATCCAAGAACACGACACTATAGGTTTTAATTTTTTTTTCTTTTGGTATGTAGGGCACAAGAGATTGTCACCGAAACCTATATATCACAATAATTACCTACATACATGTATCATACAGAAAAATTGTTACAATTAATAGGGACTAATCCGAGCGTTCAGAAGTCCCGAATCTGAAAGAAGAGTTGCGAATCATAACTTTTTCAGCAACTCGAGCAAAAAAAAAAAATATCACATTCATTAGCTGTGAATGGAGACATCCTCACACTTTGTGTTTCATGTAGATAAGTGGATTGATTTTTTCCAAAAAAACACGTGATACTCTTGCCAAAATTATGCAAAATATGACTTTTTTTTGTAGGAATGCGGAATTGGGTAGGTCGGATATTGAATTGTCATTTGGAGAAAAACAAAATAGAAATGTATTTCTGCGATTTTAGTCAATCTTCCGGAATAAATTCAACAGAAAATGATAAAGAGCTCGTGACAAACAAGCACTTGCCCACTTTCTCTTCCCCATAGTGGGATCCTACTGTCTGGTTTGATATCAAAAGATTGACAGATGTAACAGAAGCAGACATCCCCCATCACTCAGAAAACAGGAACCAAGATCAGCTTCAGTTCTGCGCACTAATCACAGCTTAATCAACGCGTACTTACTTAAGCACACGGGCACCAATCATTCCTTTGAACAGTGGAAAAGCTCTGTGCAGAAAGATTGGATGGGAAGCTGGTGATTAGGCTTTAAAAAAGGGAACTGTAAGAGGAAAATAATTAAAGTGAAGCTGGTGAGGGGGAATCAATTCTTGGTTGAGAGCTAATCAGACATGAAGTGAAGCATTGGTGGAATAAATTCTTGGTTGAGAGCTAATCAGACAGGAAGTGAAGCATTGGTGCATGTGTCATCTCAATAAAATATATATATACATATACATATATATAATATATTAAGAAAAGATGGGGAAAAGATAATTTTTGGAGCTTTTTAGGCATATCTGGGTAAGCACCAGATGATTTGAGGATCTGTCTGCCAAACAATTTAAAGTTAGGGGATTCTGATGTTAAAATAGAGACACATCATGTTGCTTTTGTCTGAAACAAAAGGCACACCATGTTTGACCCAGCACAAGAAGACCCAACAAAGGAATGCCACAATGCAAGCTCATTCATATCTGTCTTAGGAAAAAGAGGGGGGGAAAAAAAGGGTTCCTACACACTCTTAATCACTTTGCAATTCGCATAAAATAGAAAGTTTAATTAATTTATTAATTTCCTCTTTTTAAGCATCGACAATTTTCCAAATGGACCACGTTTCGATATTGTCTATATTTTTGAGAAATCTCGAAAGCTCCCTTCGAAAGAGAGGCATTAAGGAACACGGACCACAAAATTTACCCGAAAAATAAAGATAAATATGTAGATATTAGTACAGCTTTTTGAAGAAAGGCCACATTAAAACTTGTGGTTTCCTGCATCAATTATTAGAAAAAATTTAAATAAAAAAAAAAGAGATGTGAGTTTTCTTGTGATGTGAACACTTTTCAAAAAGAGAACAGGGAAAGTGACCTCCAACTTCTCATCCAACCCAACTGGTTCCTTCAATTTTCATTTATTTATTTATTAGTTTTGATTTTTAAGATAATAAATTGACCAAAATAGCTCCACTGCCAATAATTCCATTGAACTACTCTCTGGACTTCATTGGAGATTTTTTTTTTTTGGACATATCCTTGGAGAGTTTGGAATTGCAACTTTTTGAATGAAAATGTGCCTAATTTTTCCACCATTTCAGCACCAAACTTGGCACCAAATACCCACTTACTAGTTGACTTTGACATTTATTGATTGCCAATACTTTTTGACTTCATATCTCTCGAGACATATTTTGAAAATGAGTAAAGTTCAACGAATCGCACATCACAATATAAAAACAAACTTGTAAGGAAAAAAAAAAAGTCATTTTCGGCAATGGTACGAGTACTACATGTTTCAAGTCATCCCTTTTGAGCATGCCAAGTTTAGTCCATGCCCTCAAGAGGATTCGCGACGTTAGAGTTCAATCGCTCCATCAACTAAAATGTAGTATATTCCCGTGATCACAAAAAATTGTTCTATTCTTCATATGTTAACATGTTCGAGGACATTCGTTATCGAAATCCTTAATTTCTTTTTTTTATTTTTTTGAAAATGCTCATTGAAATGAACATGCCAAGTTAATAAGCACATGATATGCAAGAAGTTGAAATATTTGCACAAAGAAGAAGAAGAAGAAGAAGAAGAAGAAGAAGAGAGAGTTGAAATATGAAGCACGGGCCTTAAGCCCACTGATAAGTTTGGTTCGACCAAATTGGGCTATTAAAATGAAAAGCTAAGCTGCATCCCAAGTGATGATCGTCAAATTTCTCCGGTCTTTTCTTTCTTTTCTTGTCTTGTCTTTTCTTTTCTCCCTTTTTATCTGTTACAGATTCCAATTTACAAAGTCGAAAGTCAAGACATCGAATTGGGCGACAATCCATTCGAGGATAAGTAGTACAAGTTAATAATGTGAAACAATATATTATTCCAAAAGGCTGCGGTCCCGCAACGTTCTCGTGAAGAACAAGTGATATAACCAAGACAGTTGTATTCTTCTGTTGAAATTATCTTCATTGTTTCGATGACGAAGGTGGTTGCTTTGTAAGGAAACCCAGTTGCTATTTCGCGGTATTAACAGATAATTGCGCCAATATACAGCCACTGGTATATAACTGTTCCTACACACACTGGGCTTGCACAACTTGTGGACTATTGACCCCCTAAATTGGTTCAATTCCTCATCAAATTTGACCAATGGCTTCACATGAATATTCACGTATTATGTTCATTAAGAGTTCATTTGTTGATTTAGGCTCCGTTTATTTCGCGAAAATTTTTCTACCGGTAAGGCTCTGTTCGTTTCGCGGAAAATATTTTCCATGAAGACATTTTCCTAGAAAATGACACAATTTTCTGGTGTTCGGCTGAAATTTGAAAAAGTTTCGGAAAATATTTTCTGTTGTTCGGTACAGAAAAGATTTTCTTCCTTGCACTACTTTTAATATATTTTTCTTTTTCTTTTTTTTAAATATTTTTTTTCTTTTTTCTTTTTTTTTCCTTCTTCTTCTTCTTCTTCCTCAGTTGGTTGCCAGCCGCGGCGATGGCCGGCGACCGGCCAGCTCGAGCCTCGCCGGCCTGTGGCGAGGCTCCGCCTCACCTAATCCGATGCAGCTGAGCTTGCCCAAGGCCGATCGGGCGAGCTCGGGCCTCGCCAGATCTGGCGAGGCTCAGGCAACCTCAAGCAAGGCTCGAGCCTAGCCCAGCTTGCCGGATCTAGTGAGGCTCAAGCTCTCTTGTGGCCGGCGACCAGCCGAAGAAGAAGATAGAAAAGAGAAGGAAAGAAAACGAAAAAAATAATAAAAATAAAAACAGATAATTAAAAAATAATTAAAATTAGAATTTTTAAAAAAATAAAATTAAAATAATTAAAATTAATGGTGAAAGAAGGAGGGGGGAAAATGTTTTCCTCAAAAGTGAAGGTGTTTTGTCCAACCACGGAAAATGTTTTCCATGATTAGTTTATTTTCCGTGAAACGAACACCGGAAAACCCGAAAAACGTTTTCCCATAAGTTATTTTTCGTGAAACGAACGGAGCCTAATTATTTTTCTTATTTTCCAGCGTTTGGATTTCTTAGGAGAATAAGTCAATAAAAAACTTATGCCAGAATTCAAGAAAATGATTTTCTCTTTCAAAGATCAAAAACTGTTTTCCAAAATACAATTAGATATCGAGACTTGACCCAAAGACCTCGGCGCTTAAGACGGGAACTCCCACGCCCATGCTCGGGTCCTCGCGAACTGGCCCGGGTCCAAGTGCCTCGAGGCTAGGCCCAAGCCCCTAGTGTTTGTGCCCAAGTCCCCACAGTCCCGCCAGGGGACTTGACTCCTAGGCCCAATTCATCATCGTTTATCCCCAGGTCTACAAAGGTTGGGACCTTGGTGGCCGTGCTCAATTACTTGGCTCCCTCACAAAGTCAAGCCCCGAGTCCATAAAGGCTAGGCCTAGGTCTCTCGTGATTAAAGATTTAAATATTAAACTATGCATTCATTTAATAACTTAAGCTATTAAAACAGTTTGTAGTGGTCACATAAAATCTCACATAGTATCAGAGCAAGAAGTTCTGGGTTCAAAATCTTTCGAGGCCCATTTATCTGCCCAATTAAATATGTCCACACTTAGTATTAGGCAAAATGACCAGACTTAAGCATGAGAGGAAGTGATAGAACATTTTAAATATTAAACCACGCCTTCATTCGCTTAAAAAAAACTAATTCTTTATCTAACAACTAAAGCTTTTAGAACAGTTGACAGTAGTCCTACAAAATCTTACACCTTGAGGTCGGTCTAAGACCACAGGTCCCTATTGGCCGTACTCCGATACTCGGCTCCCGTGCCCAAGTTACTAACGCTTGAGCTTGGGTCCATCAATACCGAGTAATCCCCCGTGCCCATGCTCGGGTTCCTAGTGGTTGGCCTGAGAAATTCTATCTTTTGCAACTGGGACTCCAGCTGTCGAGTGTTCGTATCACGCAAATAGCACATATCTATTTAGGAATATAAAATCAAGTTTTCCTTTTCCAATGATGGGAAATAATTTCACATTCATTTTAACATTTTAACTAAATACAGGAAAAATTATTGCCACAATTTCTTGGAAAATGATTTCTTGAAAACTATCCTTAAAAAAAAAGGCCAAATTTTTCACGAAACAAAATGAAGCCTTACATTAGTATTTCTCTACCAACGGTTCACAATTAGTCATATGTGTAGGTCGCCATGCTCAAGAGTAGAATGTACAAATATTCACAATCAACTCCTCCTTTATTTCGAGTTAATTTTACATGCCGAATAAATTTTGGTGCAATAAATAAGCTTCACCACTTTAATTTGATCAAAGACAAGCAAATCAACCTCCAACCTCATGCTTCTTTCTTGCAAACGTTCCAGGAATTTAAGTTATTTTACGAGCCCGACTTTGACCAATCCCTTGGGAGTTAGCACGAGGGGCTACTAGAAGAAAGAAAATTCAAGAAGGAAATTGACCTTAGAAAGTCATTTTATATGAGGAGAAAAAACAAATACGTGAGGACATTATGGTCAAATGAGCGATGCTATGAATCCTGAAGTCGCACCCCCAATCCCAATGGTGGCGTGAGCAGCAGAGGAGTTGCCAGAGGAGAGGCGAGGATGGAGGCCATTGGCAAAGCCTGCTGTTCTTCCTTGGTCCTCATGTCCCCGCTCGACAAAGATGCAATTTTTACGATGAAGATGAAGAACAAGAACAAACAACGCGTGTGCGCTGTCATAGGTCCCAAGAATCCCTTCAAGCTGAGCAAAATCTCGTGTGGAGTATCAGAAGATGGGGTGGAGCCTAAACAGAAGAAACCCACCACAGTGTCAGCCATTCCCGGAAGCAGGACTGAGGATTATAACACAGCCATGAAGAGGATGATGAGGAATCCTTATGAGTATCACCACGATCTTGGTAAAAATCCCGTGGATCCCCTCTCTTTTCTGGTCTGTATACGTTTTTTCACAAGATGATTATTGATTTTAGACTCTACAGCTGTGTTGCTAATCTCACAACGGGGAAAGTTCCCGTTTTTATGTCTCATTAGTCTTGGCTCGGCATGATGGGTTGGTCAGTTTTGGCTGATTGAAAATGCTGGGATGAAGGGATTCTTGGCTATCTTTTGTTGACTTTGGCATGCATTACTTTATTGCACATATTTTAATGAGGAAATATGTTCAGATTCATGAATATAGTCTTGTCACGTTAAAATTGTCTTGCTTTGCCTAAAGAACTATTAGTATTGTAATTAGAGCAAAAGGAAATCCCAAAAGCTTTAAGCTGTTTGGTTGGATACCTTGACTGCTTGCTATCTGAGTTACATTCATTTTATTTTGAATTTATGCCTGTGATGATCTAATAGTCAGATCCTGTGTTCAGGCATGAATTACACACTGATAACTGATAATTTGATCGTGGGCTCGCAGCCTCAGAAACCTGAAGATATTGATCATCTGAAACACGAAGAGAATGTGGCTTACATATTAAACTTGCAGCAAGATAGGGACATTGAATACTGGAGAATCGACTTCCAGTCTATCCTGAGAAGATGTCAAGAGCTTGGAATCCAGCATATGAGAAGGCCGGTGAGCGAGCATATTTCGCCCTCTTTCTAGAAAATGTTGCTTCAGCTAAAGTATGTTTGTAGTTTTCACTGTGGAAAATTCAAGCAATGTTATTCCATTTTTGAGATACAAGAATGGTAATTTCATATTGTTCTTTAACTTCAAGATGACGTGAACACGCTATGAGATCTCTTTTGCAGTTATTGTAGCCATAGATAATTGTCAATGGTTTTGTTCTATTAATGAATGAATAGACTGTACATAATTACCATTCTAATGTGTCTTTTCATTTTTGTTCGGTATATTGGTAGGCAAGAGATTTTGATCCAGATTCGTTGAGAACTGGATTACCCAAAGCCGTGTCATCTTTGGAGTGGGCAATCTCAGATGGAAAGGGGAGGGTTTATGTGCACTGTACAGCTGGTCTTGGAAGGGCCCCTGCCATTGCAGTTGCTTATTTGTACTGGTTCTGTGGCATGGATGTGAGTCCTCACATTGATACTTGTTTTCTCAATTTACTTATTTACTGCTTTGAGATCGATTCTTTGACAACTGTGGGATTCTGGACATGAAAAAAGCTATCTTGCCATTTAAGCCTATCTAATACTTAGCTTTTTTGCAGAATCAAGTAATTACAGTGATGTTCTTTAGGTTTTGGTGCTTAAGCTTCCTTCTTTTTAGCAATGATGTCATGCTTATGCATGCAATTTGCAAATACCTTCACGATGCTATTATGTCAAATGGAAATGCATTAAAAAGATAAAGTGGATAAGCTTCTTTTTTTACTGCTGACCTTGTAGGAGTTAAGGCACTTTCATTTCACAAAGTTGGTGACTTGATTGAACTTACTTCTACGTAACACGAACCGCATAATGGATTTCTATTTTTAGTTGTTTAAATCTCTTAAGCTATTTGCTTAAAGTTTTGTAGCATCTGAATCTATGATTTGTGGCAATGGAGCAGCTGAACAAGGCTTATGCCTTTCTTACTGCGAAACGTCCTTGTGGACCGAATAAAAGAGCCATACGAGGAGCTACCTATGATCTGACCAAGAATGATCTGGGGAAGGAGCCTTTCGAGAGTCTTCCAGAATATTCTTTTGAAGGTGTAGCTGATTGGGAGAGAAGCTTGATTCAGGAACGTGTATGTTCACTCCGTGGGACTTGAATGTCCATGTAAGGACTCTCTATCCTTCTTTCTGTGGGTTTGTCTTGGTCTTCTCTTCTCGCTGAGATGAGAGTTTGATTACATACCGTCCTATTGTAGACAGTTGCTCTTTTTTATATTCTCCGCAGAAAATTACTTGCCGATCTCTTTGACGGTCTTGTGGCATCTTCTCAGCGGTCTTGCTAGTTATTCATGTCAGCCATAATTTTATTATTCTCTAATTCAGGTTTTGGGTTCGCAGGATATAGTCATTCAGATTAGGCGAGATCCTCTAGCAATCGTTTAAATTGCTATTAAACCATGTATGAACAGGAGATCTAATTAACATATTTGTCCAATCCTTGTTTTGTATCCGAAGAGTGTCAATTTAGGTACTTACATGGCTTGATTTTTATGAATTGATTGGGCTAAGCTTCGCGCTCTTAAGTGGTCATGTTCTTGAATTCCGTGAACTATTTACAGACTATTTGGGTTTGGTGCGCTCATTGGTCTTCCTTCCTCATAACTGCTTTTCCGTTTGAACTCCTGGCTATATCTGTTCTATAACATACCCGTGATATCTGGTTGTAGGTGATATCTTTGCTGGGACAACTTCTTCCCTATCAGAGTTTTGGGAGTATGGAACGATTATGGAGGGGTAGTCGAGGGAGAGAATAATGGCTTATTTGCTGTTACAGGCACATAAACCTTTGTGTCCTCAATGATTATACAAAAGTTGGTTGGAGAAGAACTTGAAACCCATCATCGTTTAATATGGATGGTTTTATACATACACAGCGAGAACATTGACATTGACGCATGCTGTCAATATGATACCGGGTGCCAGTTCCTTTTTGTAGTAGAGCAAGTGAGGTCCAACCAACCGCAGTCAACAGTGAATAGAAATGGTGTATTTGAGGTCTCATATTGCTAGAGTTTAAGATTGGAAACTATCAATCACCTGCAAATGCATATTTCATAACCCATGCGATGGAGGTTTTTGTTTCTAATCCATGCTATTATTTGGAATCATGTGAGGCAAAATGCTTTTCTTCTGTGAACAGAACTAGAGGGAAATGTGAACTCATGAAAGTAAATCTTGGTTCTGTATCTAAGTGCCGGCATGATTTTTAAACCATTAGAGTGAATCCATAGTCTACAACATTATAAACCTGAGCTGGCTATGGTCTGAATCGAAAATTAGAAAATGCAAATGGCATGCGTCGAGGAGCATTTGCCGGCTCTGAAGCTCCAGCCATTGAGGTTGCAACCTGCAATGGTATTCCACAGTTTAGCCTTTACTTGTTTTAACTTTTAAGCCATTCAACAGATTTAGGATACTCGTTTTGCTTTAATAGCAACTCGTTATTTAATGAAAGAAGAGCCTACAACGAGTGCCTGAATGAAAGCTTCAGGCAAGGACAGAAGCACTTGCAGGTGCAAACGAAGCATGTACTTTCCTAGCGAATGGAGTGCGAATAATACAGAAGCAGCACATCCATGAGATCCACATTACAGTCATCAAAATCAGATTTCAAAAAGCCAAACGAAGTTCCTTCCAGGTGTATAATGTATATGATTGCTTTGAGGAGTTTGAAAGAAGTGACAGCTTCTCCATTGGAAAAAGCCAACAGATGTCAATGGTTCTGAGCCAGTGGCATAGAAAAGAATTAAGCACATTTGATCTCTACTAACACCAAACTACGGTAAAATCATGGAGAATATCACTCAATTCCCATAAGATTCTAAATTGTCAGCGAAGAAGTTCACTTTGTATTCACATTACATTCAATAAGAGATCAGACAAAATAAAACTAACCACCTGCAGCTGTTCCACTGCGCACATTGAGGCCAAGCATATTTGATGCTTCCGTTGAGAAGATGAGCTTGAACATCATGAGATATGATCACCACTATCAAATTCTATTCAAAAGAAGTTAAAAGGGTTCGGCTAAGAATCATGAACTTTCTTATATATGAAAAAATTCCTCATAATGTACAGATATGGCTGCGAAGTAAATATGCTTTAGGAAGTAACGATACTCTTGTGTAGTGCAAGCTGTGCCTGGCGCCGCCCTAAGTGGAATGCCGTGAAAATCCATAGTACACAAACCTAAGGTAGCCCACAGAGAAGAGTCAAGAACATATAATAGCAATAAGCATAGCTATTTGGCTTCTAATAAAACACTCATCCAACTTAAAATCAGTTCTCTACGTACAGGCAAGGCATATAGGGAGACCGTTGATATTTTCCCGTTGAGAGAGCCAAAAAGCAACTTAAACATTCCAGCTGCTGTGGCATCACCTAATCTCTGGACAATAACATCTATGCATAGCTGCATTTATACATATCAGGCATAAGAATCCCGTAATTCCCTGCATTTCTTCATCATCATCATGTCATAGCACTAGCAGTAATTAGATGAAATGATATGAGACTCGTTGATCATCCAGAAAGCCAAACCCAGTCTGGCCACAAATCAACTGTAGCATGCGCATGAGAGAAGATCTAAATGATTTGACAAAATCATCCTAAGCAATTTGCAATTATGTTTACTGAAATCAAAAACTTGAGAGATAAACAACTTTCTCAATGAGTGAATATTCATACCTTAGCTTTGTATTTCTCATCCTGTGAGACTACAGTAAACAAAAGTTCTCTTCCAGGCCTTGTAACAACATACGTGACAACCTGGAATTGCAAATACTAACATCACCCCTCTTTTGTTTCATGCTTTTATATGTAAGACTACGCATAAGTGTGAATTCAGGAGGATGAAATGAGGAATTGCAGATGTAGAAATTACAGTTGGATAAATTCAACATCTCTAGATGATAAATAGAGAATAAATAAGTAGGGCATAGTTTAACACCTTTCGCAAGGTCTCAGAAATTGCAACTGCTACCCAAGTAGGCCAAACTGCAACCACGACCAAATTTGACAAGGCAACCAAAGGAGTAGAACATATAGCAACAGTAACCCCAGCAACAGCAAGAATGCGACCCTACAATAAAAGCAAGTTTTATACTCAAAATCAAGAATGACAGCATAGATTATTATCAAAAAAGATACAAAATAGAGCTTCTCTAGCATTTAACAGACACCCCTGAGGCTGCAAACTATTAGAGTGGTAGGGAATGTATATATACTATAATAAAAAAGGCGATCCAATTTGCAATGTCCCACGAATTAGACAAAACCAACATATTAATGAGGAGAACCCCAAATCATAAATCTCTTTGAGATGAAATCAAGGTGCATCAAAATTACAATACAGAGTTGTGTAAGCTTTGACGTACAAATAGCAATTTCCTTTTAAGTTGGAGAAAAGCTTAAACTCAGACCAGATTAAATGAAGAAGTTAATTGCTTGGCGATTACATATAGACAAGGATGCAAGGTCTTATTAAAGGAAAAAACTGCTTCAGGAGCTTAAAATACTTTGGTCTATTTATAAGGGCAAAATAAGTTCTCCCTTGTTTCACAAGTTCACATCCTATTTTTCAAAAGAGATTGCTCATCACAACCCACTCAAGCAAAGAATAGCGAAAGTAAATGGATATCCCCATGAATCCGCTCAACATTCAAGTGAAAGAACAGAGAAGCAAACCGATATCCACTAAGCACATCCCTCCCAAAAATTTAATAACATCCATGAGTTTTAAGGGACCACCTAATGTTCATCCATCCAAACTGCAGAAATTTTTAGAAAAATTTAGTACCGTCAACGTGAGTTGGCCAGCAAGTATGAAGACGGCAATGAAGCTGTTAATCTGGGCAAACAATTTTCTCCGGTCAGTTGAGCTTGAAACAGCCATTGCTATCACAGTAACTTTCTGCAGTTGTAGAGACAAGGAAATTCAGTTAAATTCCCAAGAGCATCCAGCAAATGCTCAATGTCTTGAAGAAAAGCCAAATTGATAGACATTCAAACAAAACCTTGGTTAAAAAAATGCTCAAAGGAAAACCTTCAGTAGGAATAAACTCTGCAGTCAGTCATAAGACTATTCTAAAAACATCGCATTCAAATTTAAAGCCATAAGCTTATCTTACCTGAAAATAGAAGAATGACGAGACAACTGCACTCAGCCAGAGAAATAAAGAGACATATAATAGATATGTGGAGGATAAAATAAGCCAGAGTCCATCTAAGATAGCCCAAAGCTGAGGCTTCACCGCTGAAGTGGCTGATGTAGGAGAAGAAACAGCAGGTTCGGTCTTTCCATCAGAGTCCTTTTGTTGGTCAGGATCAATTTGTCTAAAAGAAAAGGATTAACAAAGTTTACCACAAAGTTTGTTTTTCTAACAAGCAAAGAGAAAGGCCACATAATCATGTTAGTCCAACCTAAGAAAACTAAGCTCGTGATTGCCAGAAAATCAAGCCCACATGGTTGGGTTACGTTTCAGAAGGTTTGACTCTCATAATATAAGCTCACTATTACTGAAACATGGGCTTGAAGTATGTGAATTGAAACCAAACAAATCATGGTAGGTACAAATCTGATTATCGAGTGGAAATTCACCTATATGTACTCAAACTTGTCTTGCCAAAAGCTATCTTCCTTTCTAATCTCACTTATTTTAGAAAGAGACTCATCATCTGAATTTGGCAGATGAAGAGTGATAATTGAGATTTAAGGAGGAAGGTAATAATCCCATATGATGAGTCAAGGCCTCAATAAGTTCAATGAGAAAGTTAACCCAGCCTCTTAAACTCATTCATGAACCATTCATTAGAGACCCCATGATCCACTTCACAAACTATAAAGGATTTCCAAATGTTACTTGAACATTAAGTTATCTTCATCGCTCTGAGGAAATGACAGCTGCTCAATTCCAAACATGTAATCATTTTGTGCCTGCAGTTGTGCCTAGCAATCCTCCACATGCAAGCACACCGTTTCTAAGGATCCACTAGTCTAAAAAAGACTGACCCCATGGCAGTGAGCATTCCACATTTAATGTTTTCTGCAGTTCATATAAAAATGCAAGTACATAAAATCCACCTAACCTGATGGGAGATAACTCTTCAGGAAAATTAGATAAATCTTGGTTGATCCCTTTTGACGATTGTGCAGCAAGTTCCAGAAAAAGGGCAGCAAAGAGAAGCAACACTGAAGTTGAAACAGTCCACTATTCACAACTGAAGGGAGAAAGAGAAATAGGACAAAATTTTAGAGTGTGAAGCAGGTAGATACATACGCGGACCCAACCAGGCCATTAGCGTGGCAAACAGAGAGCCAAACAGCTGGCCCAGTGTAGCACCCGCACCAATGAAACCAAAGAGTCTTGAACCTGACTGGATACAGAACCAAGTGAGAATGATAAACTTTATACTAGATACTTAACGACATAACACACGGCAACGCACAAACCTCACTGTCCATCACATCAATCACTCTAGCCCAAGTTGACGAAATGGTGATAAGATTAAGCAAAGCAACCTGCAAAGGCAAATACCGGTCAATTGGAAGTCCACTCGACTGTCAATGACCAAAATGTCCAAAATGAGCAATAGCTGGTTCGTTTCTGGATGTGTAGGTACATAAATTGGATTATATCATACCCAGAGGAACAATCCCACTCTAACTGACACGAAAAACCATCCATATTCCTTCCCACCCGTGGGAGTTGAAGGACTGGCATGATTGATGACAACTCCTGCCTCCTCATCTGTTGTGGAGGACAAAGCAACAGGCCCCTAGAGAACAAAAATAAAAACCAAGCCTCAAATCAGACTTAACAAACAGAAGGCTGCATCAGAATCTACTGTCGACGAAAATACTACCACTCCGAATTCTCTCTCGTACCTTCCATGTGGATAGTGAAAACCCAGGCGAGGAAAACTGCCATAGAGTGAAGAATATGACAAGTGATATGCTGAAGAACCTGTGAATCAAAACCAGAGCCTGAAATTTCAAAAAGAACCTGATTATACGACCATATCAAAGAGCGAAAAGATTCGGACACATTCATTTCAGAAAATATTCCGAAGCCGTAACTACCTAAAGAAGAACGTATGGCGAATCTAGTTAGAAGGAATAGACATCTGAAACAACCGAAAAAAAGAAAAGAGTCCAAGCTCATTTCCTCGACATGAATCCTCATCTCCACGAAGCTACAAAACAAGCATTGCAACACACGCAGCATGCATAATCTCATCTAACGACCCTCTCGCGCCGTTCATTTCGTCATCGTCAAACGGTGCGAACCAACGCAAATTACCAATGCCGAACACACAGAGAACGGAGGAACACGGAAGGCTCGGGCAGAAGAAGGATATACAACACCTTGCCTTTAGAGAGGTTGGGCGAAGAGAAGATGAGAGTCGAGACAGGGGCGGCGACCAGAGTGAGCGCCAACGATCCGACGAAAAGGCTGGGGAGGTTCGACAGCCCGAGGGAGATGGCGCCGTCGTCGCGCAGCGGGAGCACCATGAAGTAGGCGCTCAGAATCTGCAGCGCCTCGGGATCCGGCAGAGGGATCAGTATATAATCAGCGCACTCGCAAGCAATAACGCGCGTCGAACGGAGGACGCGGGACGACGGAAAAACTCGATCGTCGCCGCCGCCGCCGCCGCCGTTGACCGGGGGGGATTGGGGGGATGGGGGGAGGAGGCCGGAAACTTACGAAGAAGAAGCAGGAGGAGGCATGGAGCAGAGGAGAGGTCTCGTGAGGGTGCACCGAGACGAAGTTCGAGACGATCGCGTGCGATCGAGACCGGTTGTTCATCTTTCGCTATGGAGGAGTATCGCGGAGCTTCAAGCCATTGCCATCATCGCCATTGCCCAACTGAACTGGAGATTTGACCAGCTCCTCGTTCTTCAGTTTTTTTGGTCATGTTTAATTAATTCTTTATTTTCTTGAGGAAAAATGACGTAAATAGTCTCTAAACTTTAGCTGAATGTATAATTTAATATTTGAATTTTTAATTTGTTTACTATCGTTTCTCAACTTTAGCCTAATGTTCAATATAATTCATAAATTTTTAATTTGTTCAATGTGTTCCATGGATTTTTGGTACACATTCAATTTAATTAATGAATTATATGAAATGTTAAGCCAAAGTTCATAGACCGTTTACGTCATTTTCGCTTTTTTTAATAATTTTGTGCGAATTTGACAACAAAAGATAATGATAAATAATTTTTATTCTTTAAAAAAAAAACAATAGACTTACCATAAAAACAGAAGAAGCCATTAACTATTTATTTTATCTATTAACAAATTTGATTAATCATTTTATATAGGGTTAATACCACCAAAAACTCCAAATTGGTACGCGTGTGACAATTTTACTCCGAACTTTTTTTTGACCACAAAAAACCCCAAACCGGTACACCTATGATAATTTTACCCCAAACTTTTTTTTTTACCACCAAAAACCCCAAACTAGTACACCTGTGGTAATTTTACTCAAAACTGGTAAACCCGTGACAAATTTACCCAAAACTATTTTTTTGACCACAAAAAATCCCAAACTGGTACACCTGTGACAAATTTACCTCGACCTAATAATTTTTTAATATTATTTTTTCGAATTTTTTTATTTCTTTTTTCTTTTTTCTTTTCTTTTCTTTTTCTTCATCTTCAACCTCTGGCCGGTCGCCGGACCGGCGACCGGCCAGAGGTGGAAGCCGGCGAGGTCGGCCCCGCCAGCCGCTAGCGAGGCTCGACCTCGCCCAGCGTCGGGCGAGGGCGGCCCTCGCCGGCGTCTGGCGAGGGTCGCCCTCGCCACCCTCCCAGGCGAGGGCGACCCTTGCTTGAGTCAAGCGAGGGTTGCCCTCGCCCGACGCAGGCAAGGGTCGCCCTCGCCAGATCCGGCGAGGGCAGCCCTCGCCAGAGTCGGGCGAGGATTATCCTCGCCTGCGTTGGGTTAGGACCGCCCTCGCCCGACTCAGGCGAGGGTCGCCCTCGCCCCACGCCGGCGAGGGCGGCCCTCGCTAGTGCCAGCGAGGGTTGAGCCTCGCCAAGGCCGGCAGGCCGACCTCGCCGGCTGCATCTCGTTGCCGGTCGCCGGTCCCGCCGGAGGTTGAAGATGAAGAAAAAGAAAAGAAAAGAAAAAATTCAAAAAAATTAAAATTTTAGTTCAGGATAAAATTGTCACATGTGTACTAGTTTGGGATTTTTTGCAGTATGTTCAGGGTAAAATTGTCACAAGTGTACCAGTTTGGGGTTTTTTGTGATATGTTCCGGGTAAAATTGTCACAAGTGTACCAGTTTGGAGTTTTTTGTGGTAAAAAAAAAAGTTCGGGGTAAAATTGTCATACACGTACCAGTTTGGGGTTTTTTGTAGTATTAACCCTTTTATATATATTTATATATTGATTTTGAGATCTATATGCATGAATCAGTGCCATCTATCAAGTAGATAATTACTCTGATTCTTCACTCTCTTTTTCTCAAACACCATTTTTATTTTTTATTTTTTGTAACCGAGGATCGCCACCATTCCCCGGGGACAAGCCCGCACAGGTAATCAGGGCGCCTATACCTCGGGGGAGACTAGCCGAGCAACCCACCGCCAGAGCCCCCACTTAAATTACGGAACCGAGCGGAGATTCGTACCCAGAACCTCTCTGAAGAAAGAAAAGCGCCCACCAACTCGGCCATGCGCAGGTGGGTATCACTTTTTATAAAAGAAACTTTCAATTTTTCGGATTCGGCTTATCAACCATTTATTAACCCATAATTTAAATTCACATCTGGATAATCTAATCGACCTAACAACTAACAATCACGTCTCTAAAACTAACATGCATGATTAGTCAAGTAAATGGAACTTGGGTAGCGGATGGAGTTCCTCAGCGAAGTTTCGGAGCAATGAGCCGGAATATGTGAAAAATCAGAGTTTGGAAATCGCTGAGCCAAGAAGAACCGGTCGGGTATGGAATACCTACTCGAGTTCTAAGGTAAATGAGTTTTCACTACTGCATTTCGCAATACATGTGTTGAATGCGTAGAGGAAATTGGTAAAAGCATAGCAACGATGCGTTCAGCCACAGCAAAGCACTCGGAAGATGATAGATCCAACAATTTGTCTCGGTGGGAATGAATCCGCAAAAAGCCGACTCATGACGGCGAAGGAGTTATGTACAGACAATGCCATTTCAGCAGAAAGCTTGCAGCAGCATGGAAGCTGCACTTTGTATATACTTTGTCAGCATTTTTTTGCAAAAAGCTGTCATTTGCACGCTTCATGCGAACCTCTCCCATCGCAGCCTCTCGAGTTCCTTGACCATTTGCCAATGTTCCAACGACAGGGAGGTTTCGCCGAAACTTAACGACATCAGACGGCCCATCGTCAACAATCTGCAGGGCCGGCATGTCAATCGGATGTAGCAGTGGAAATGTAATAGTCAAACTGAAATAAAAATAGCAGTTCAGCCAACTTTCACCTGCTAAAATCCTGGCTGCTTAGGTTTCGATTGGCTTGCCTCGCTGCAACCAGATCATTCTCCACCACCTGTGCATATGAACACTCATTATCTCATGACAATTAAACTCCAGTGACTTCCCTCCGAAGAAAGAGAAAATGATCTCAATGTATTGTGTGAAGAATCTTCCACAAGAATTTCTGTCCATTAGACATTTTACTGGCAAGAAAGATGCTCAGAACATCAGGGCCCCGAAACGACCTCACTGTTGTTAGAAACCACTGGTGTAACTTTAGAACCTAAGGAAACTGCTCGTAGAGCTTATCCAGGAATTATGCAGTAGATTTCAGTTCTAAAACCATCAAACCAATCACGATATTTAACCTAGCCATGATAATTTCCATTGCTATACTTGCCATATGGTTCTCGAAAAGCAAACTTATAATCAAGTCAAAATGCCGGCTTTATCTATGGTGCCGGAGCATGCATGAAAATCAAATCAATCTAATAAATTACATCCTCGACCATATGCCAACGGAAAAAAAAATTGCCAATGATCAAGCCAATCAAACTCATACCTTCTGCATGTCTGAGTCAATCGAATGCGATAGTGATCTGACAGTAGCCAAGTACCATTGCCAAGCTTCTAGTGTTTCCGCAGCCACTACTCCGCCAGAAGCCACCGAGGAAGGTTGAAAAGGAATAACCAAATCAGCGGGCAAAATATTTGATTTACCCTCAGAAAGGATGAGTAATTGAAAATCAGCTGCCAACTCCATCTTGTAGTACTTGAAGTCATACTCCACCTAAAAACCAACACCTTCAGACCATTGGTAAGTCTTTACAGACAATGGCACTATCCGCTCTTGACAAACCAAGTATGAAAAGATAGTGTGTTCTGCTATAGAGTACTATCTAAATGCCAAATGCATATATCCTGATGCTCTGGAAAAATGGCATGCGTAAGACTAAAAAGACTAGAACATGAAGATAGTTGAAGACAAAAATCACCTTTTGATACTCGCTTAAATATTTTAACAACCTAGCATTTTCAACACCCACAGAATTGAGAGTTCCGACTTCCAACTGGGTCTCATCAATTGTTAAATGCGTGCCCTCAGGTAGCTGCATCAACCCGGTCACCAATCTGCAGTGTCAACCATGTCAAAAGTAAAAACCGATTCCCAAGATCCATGGTTACTAACCATGAGAACTCATGAGCAACACGGTAGGCATCTGATACCTATTTGTTTCATAATCCTTTTTGGGTGCAAGTGAAGCAGCATTAAGATAATCAACCGTCAGGGGAACAATGTGTGAGAAAGGTAAGAGGTCCTTGATTGCCAGCATAAGGTGATTGCCGAAGATAGATACACTTTCTTTGTTAAAGCAAGTGAGATTCACAGAGAGCTTTCCAACTGCAAAATTGTCGATTCGGGCATGTACCTGCTTTTGGAGAATCTTGTTATTGCCTTTTCCATATCGGACTTGAGAAAGGAAAACAAAGAAGCTAAAGATTTGAGCATCAGACTACAACAAGGAGAGAAATACTTCAAAACAAGAGAAAAATATGCAAAGTTGGCAAAGAAAAGAATACACACCCTGGATAGAAGATGCAACAATACCAAATGAGCTGCTAAACCATCATTGCCAAGAACGGCCGTAAGATGTGACAGGAGAGTTTCCCTCACCTCTTTGACCAATTGGGGCTTCAGCTGCAGCATTCAGCATAAATCAACAGTTGAGCAAAAGCAAAATGAAGATGCTTGAACATAGAGATTAATTCATTCGAGTTTAGTGTATGCACGTGATCATAAAGAGGTACACAAGGATATAAAATATTGGTCTTGGCAAAAAATTACCTCCAAAGGGGTGCTGTGAAGAAAGTCATGAGCTGCGAGCTTTGTGTGAACAAGACAATGGAGACGTGGTACCTGAACCAAGACAAGGCATGTCACAGTGCTACCTTTTATTTTTACTCATTCAACATGACAAGCACAACGAAATTGTTTGGTCAATTTACAAGCACATTAGGCAAAATTCAAATGGACACCACAGGATATTCTGGAGCAATACAGTCGAAGCATCTGATTTCACTCAAAATTCGGTTGATGGCGTTGTTTTAACAGAACTAGGAAAATTCAATCACAAAATTTCCACTAAATGAACTGCTAGTTGCTATGCAAGAATGCAGACATGTAGAAGAGGTAAGATTTTTATGCATTAAGTGAGAATGAAAGGTGAATCGGTATTCAATACCTTATTTAGGGGCAAAGAAGCCAACGTATCTTCAGAAAAGCCATCCAAGAACTCATCATTATCCACTTGGTAATCAGAATCAAAAGTTAGCACTCCAACAAACTCGAAGACGTCGTTTAGCTTCAATTCAGAGTCTGAAGAATCATATACCTGTATGAACGATATTTTATAGGATTTAATCAGATTGAGGAGAAAATACAAGACTTCACCAAGGTAAGGATTTGCACTGGTAAGATTAATGATCAGCTTAGAACCATAAATGTAATATTCACTCACCTTAATAAGACAAGAAAGTGAATCTCCCTCTTCTCTGGGCATGGAACAAGCACCGAAACCAGTACTCTCGGCTACAGGTTCTGGCAACTGTAAGTTCTGAGAAGGGTGTCCATCCTCCCTCTATCAATTCAGAAAATATTCAACAATTAAACTACTCTTCTCTACAGCCTAATTTGCTGCTGAAGTTCACAGAGCTGGAATAGATATAGACCAACAAACCATATGTACCCTACAGTTAACCCATCTTTGCTTTGACAAGAAATATCTTATTCTTCTCATCATAAACCAGATATCGACTCAAACTTAAGTCATGAAACGAGTAAACTAAATTAGATTGCTGCTGATTACTTTATTTAAAAGGAATGATGCTAAGCTTCCTTGCAGACTTATAGGCTAGAATAAACTGATCATGAATCAGACAAATAATGAATGCTTACCAATTTTTTGACACCAGAAGATCTTTGAATGCCATCTTCTGAGGTCTGTCAATGCAGAACACATCAGATGTATGAAAATAAAAACTACAAGATGAGAAAAAGAAAAAGGGGAAGCGGCCAATTCTACCTCCATATCCATTTGATCAATATCTTCATTATCTGCTCTCCTGCGCTTTTCCCCGTGTTGGGATGTCTGGTCCCCAGGTCGTGCAACAACAGTTCCCGAGGAAGTGTCAGCCCAGGGATTCAATCCTGGAACCTTAAGGCACAAAGAAAAAAGAAGAGAAAAATCAGCTTATCGACAAAAGAAGAACTTGACTCTAAATCTTTCCCAAAGTAAAAGAACCAAACTAGCTTGCTCATTGTCATTCTCTAATGATAAGATGTTTCTCAGAAGCTGGAAATGAAATAACTGGGTGAAAGCAGCCAAACCCACAGGTAAACAATGCTTCAGGTCAAGGCTTGGAAGAAGAGACAGAAGTATTGGGATGTTTCTAATGAAACTCACCTGGACACAGTAAAGCAAGTGGCGTTCCCAGATATGCATATCAGGTGAAGAACCCATAGGGTACTGAGAAACATCCCTGTATTTGTTTGTTCTCCATAATGAGCCATCCTGGGAAAAGTGCAACACATTATATTAGTTGCATTGTACCATGCATGCAAAGTATGCAAGCGATCACATCCTCGCAAGGTCCAGCATAGATACCTTGTAAGCACCAGCATAAAATTCATTCCCCAACATGTCTTGTATCATACCACGAAAGCGCACGAGTGTGTTGGGCTGAACATGTCCGATATTTTTTGCATTAAGGACCGGAACCTACAGTGGAACAAACCGATTGGATCATAACATTAACGCCGAAACAACTTAAAGTTCATTATCAGCTAAATAAGATTTTCGTGTCCTTCCCTATGCAATTGGGTGCGCTCCAGAACTGCTTCCACTATATAAACATACGCACTACGTTCAACAGGCCATCTTTATCAAGCATGTAAAAACACAAACTGCGGCACTCCATTACAACTTACGCTTTCGACTAAAATTGCTGATCAATCAATTCAGCATACGTCCAAGAAGCTTAAAAGTCGTGGGCTAGAAGCTAGAATTTTTTGCAATCACAGGGGCAGGGCAGGGCAAGCAACTCCTTCGACGCGTCGAGAATCTCCTCAAGTTCATTCCATTTGAGTAAACTCGAGATCGATCAAGCCCAAAAACGAAGCCAAGCAGAGAAACAACAACTCGAATCCACGAATCGCACGCGATTCCGAACGCCGGCAAGGCGGATCAGAGCCTAGACAGCAAGACTTAGAGGGGCGCGACAACACGGCGATTGGAAATCGACGACGGTGCCGCATCCTTTACCTGAGAGAGAGCGCCTCGGTCGAAGAGCACGTCGCGGAAGAGATCGCCGGCTCCCCAGTCCTTGCCGTTGAGGGCCGCCGGATCGGCGCCGGCGGCCACCGCCTTCTCGAACGTGAACCGGACGGCTCCCAGCGGGTTCGCCAAGCAATCGTACGGCAGCCCCACCATCGCTCTCTCTCTCTCTCTCTCCGAGACTCTGTCTGAGCGACTGCGTGCGAGTGAGCGAATGAGCGCGACGCCGGTTTCCGAGGCCGCGCAGGCGGGTAAAATAAGGGCGCGATTTTCCCGCCAAATCGCGGGAGCTTCGGTTCCCGCCATCTCCCTCGGCCCTTGCCCTTCGAGGCCCATCGCCTGACGGGCCTGGGCCCAATCCAGAGGACCTGGGCCTCCATTTTTCGGCCCATTTACGGGATCTTCGATTGTGGTCATTGCTCCCGACGGTGGCGTTTGCGCGTTAGCCCTGATCGATGAACAGGCCGACGGTCGGTCCAAAGGATCATACCCCCAAGCTTTGCCGATTTTATGATACAGACTTCACATCGGTGACATTGGGGTGTTGGCGACCCTAGGCAAGCCTAGTCGTTTTGGGCCCGGCGCTTCACCGGAGGTTACTTATCCGAGCCCACCCAAATAGTTAAGTATTTTCGACGGTCGGGTCCCCAAGGGCATGAATTGCTTCTTCTTTTTTCCCACACGGAATCGAACGATGGATTGTCTGTCGAACCGTCAGAGCTATGATCGTGTCTATCAATGTGATTAGTTGCTTTTAATGTGTATTGACATGATAGAAGCTTGTCCGTCATAGAACAACGAATCGGAGCTTACAGTTTAGTCATCCTTATAAAACAACGCGGTTCGAGAAACTAAACGAAGTGACATTTCATCTGAATTGAAAGAGCAAAACAACCTGTATCCATTCAAAGGGAACAGCCTATCTCTCACAGCAATTGGAAGACTTGATAGGAGCAACCATGTTGGTGAAATGCCTGAACAGAACATACATTTATATAAACTTGGGTACCAATTGGTCTACCAAACTATGTGTGACATGCAACTAGAGAAGGAGATTAAGAAGCAGCTTCCATGTTCTGTTCTGTCATCTGAAGAAGAGCCTGGTGAAGAAGTTGCCTGATGACTTGGAGTTCTCTAGGCAAGCAACATGCGCGTATCTCCCAAGCTTGTCCACCTGCCTTGCCTCACCCTTGGTGTCCTTCTTGCATATCCTGCATGTCTTGTCCACCCATCCTTCTTCCACATATTGCCCATCCACTAATCCCCACCATTGCAAAAGAAAACAGGTTTTTGAGATTCAGGAAACGATGCTCTACTGGCCCGGAAAAAAACACAAAAACTGATGAGAGTCTCGAAGAGAGAAGAGTCGAATGTTCACCTTCGACGTACGATTTGAAGAAGTCCTTGTATGTCCCTCCAATCTTCCTTCTGAGAGCCCCATACTGCACAAATTCATCCATTGCCCATTACCAATAACAGCATATACTTCTCAAGGCAGAACATTAGTGAGAGCACAGTGGAAGCAACACTGTATTTTCTGAACTAATAAAGATTGAATATATACACATATCCATGCACATGTTTGTATACGTAGAAGACAAAAATGAAAGATTTGAACTTGGAGAGTCAAATCGGACCTGCTCCCTGGACATCCTGCCACCGGACCGAGTGGCCCCTCTGGCATCTTCGAGGAGCTCAGCATCTTCCGCAGACCTCACTTGAGCAAAGTCAAGAGCGTCGGTCACACTCCCGAACAGAGACTGCTTGCTCTGCTTCTTCTTCTCGCCCTCTTCCTTCTTCCCCTTCTCCGATTGAGCCAAAACCCTGAACTTATAATTGCTAACCCTCACACCTCCTGCAACATGCGGAAGATAGCTCACAGCGGCGTGTGAAGATGGCAATGGAAGAGCTCTCAGTCCCATGTTTCTTTCCCCCTGTTTCTCTCGGGTACCCTGAATAGCTGCGTCTCTCTACTTTTGCTCTGCTTCGGCCTTTTATATGTTGCTCGCTATGAGTTTGCGTATGTACTGTGTCGGTTTGAGTGGGAGAATCACTGGACAAGAGAACAGGGGATTTCCATGGTTCCTGACGAACTACGTGGCTCTCCGTCATACTTTGAAAAAGCCAAAAAATTGAAGTTAGAAAAAGCAGAGGATTTTGCCCTTTTTTGGGAGCTTCAAAGTCTAGCGTGTCAGCAATAATATCTTTGGCCCAGAAACGGATGGCCCATAATTGCTTGAGAAAATCACACGAGCCATATTTTCGGGGATTTCTATTGAAATTTGTTTAAATTTATATAAATTTATTTGACCTTGCATGACCAGATAATGGAATTTAATGTCATGTGCTAATGTTAAATAGAAAATGTCATGCACATCCCAAAACAGGTCAATGTCCAAATTGTTCGACCCTAAATCATAAGAAATGTCGTGTGATTCTGCGGACGTTCGAACCTAATGAAATCGATTAGATCTAATATCAGAGAGAGATGGAGGGGCTTCCCAATTCATACTTACAATTACTGAACAATTTTTCTCTCTTAATATTCCATCTGAACCTTCTGTCAATGGAAGTAATTACAATTCTGCAGAGTTAATCAGTACGCTCACCCTGTCTTCCTCTGTAGTAAAATGAGGAGACAAAAACTATACCATACCAACTTGAGAGGTTTCTATACTACATAAACCATGCCAACCTCCAGAAGTGACGCTGGAGGCACTCTAAGTACCACGTCCGTGCCTCTAGAGTTGCTCCTGAGGAAGTTGTACCCGATGTTGATGGCCAGCCTCTTCAGGATCGACGATCCTTGCTTTGCCCGGACGTGGGAATGCCCGAGTATGAACGCCGTCCCCGCCTGTTGAGCCTCTGCCAAGTCCCCTAGCTCTCCCCGCATGGGCGAATCATGTCCCATATCGGGTCGAGCATCGTTTTCTGATGCATTGTCGTTGTCGACTGCGAACCTCACTCTTCTTTGTCTGACATTGATGGGCTCCATTTCGACTTCGTCAGCCACTCCACCGCTCCCCGTGCTCGGAAACTCAACAGACACGCTTGCTGGTTCCAAGATCCCATCGAGCTTGTAAAGTGGCGTGCTGGAGAGCGCTGCTGCCATTCCGATCACTGTCAATCTGCACTCGCTCGATGAAGCATTCGAGTGAAGCACGTCATCCTCACCACACGAATTAGTACCCTCGGAAGCGCGATTCCAATCATAGCGGATGAAATCCGCCAGCCGGTCAACGAGCTCGGACTCGAAGGAATCCACGTCCTGGTGGACATCGCGATATCCATACCGGACGATGCACCTGTAAGACCGATGAGCTGCGGGGCCCACACGGCCAACTAGATAGCGCTCAGCTGGGGGCACATGTGGGACAGGGACTGATTTTACGCAGACGAATACAAGGATGCGGTGGAATGCAGGGAGATTGGTGACGAATCGGGAGAAGTTAGCCGGGATTCCTGAAGTGAGATCAGTGAAGACAATGCCGATGCCCGGGACTCGAGCGATTCCCAAGCTCGGACCCAAGGCTAAGAGCCATTCCAAAGAGACTTTGTTGTGGAGGTCATATTCATATTTCTTGACAGTGGCATAATGCCAGACTAACATGATGGTCATCAAGAAAAGGGCTAGAAGAATGGGAAGCCAAGCGCCTTCGGTGAACTTGGTGAGTGATGCTGAGAAGTAGAGTAATTCGATGGAGCCGAAAAACAGTAAGAAGGACAAAGCAACAATCGGAGGTTTGTGCCAGCATAGGATGATGACCAAGGAAGTGAGGCATGTGGTCACTAGCATCACTGCCATAACTGCCAGGCCTGCAAAAGGTGGAAACAAGTATGATATCAGAAACTCAATCAACAGATAAGCATCAATTCAGACAGTGAGACAATTGGAAGTAACAGATGAGTTGTACTATATGGATCTTAGTCTTACAGACATACTGAAGGCAGAGTTTACCTGAGGCATTTCCCATGTGTTTTATATCTCTAAAGCCGATAGTCACAGCGATGCAGAGAATCATGAGCATCCAGTTGATCTCTGGAATGTAGATCTGCCCGTGAATCTTATCTGATGTATGAACCACCTTAACTCTCGGGAAGCAACTGAGTGATTGACTCTGGTTTATGATGGAGAATGTTCCGCTGATGATGGCTTGGCTTCCAACAACAGAAGCAAGAATAGCAACTATAAGCACTGGCCATCTGACACTTTCTGCACCCGAATAATTTAGTCAGCTATAGCTATTGCAATTAGTCATTCATAGGTCCTACATGTGGAACGAATTGCCGATCTAGATTTGTCAAGGGTCAAGGAAACTTTACCTGGAACTGCAATATAGAAGCTAATTTGGTCGCTGTTATGGTAATTCTTTGACAGGTAAGCAGCTTGACCCATATAGGCCAATATGAGAGCTGGATAAACTAGAAATGTGAAAGCCATCTGCAAACGACATACAAAATGCTTACCATTAACCAAGAGTGCTTTTCAATGCAAAGGTTAATAACTCTAGCACCCTATTTCACGCAAAGTTCTGAGGCAAAGTAAGACCTGAATTGCTGTATAGGAGAAGTGTCCAAGATCAGCGAACATTGCCTCTGAACCTGCAGAAAGGATAAATGATTAATTAGATTCAGTTTTTATTAAAGTATGGAATTTCCCTAAACCCTCACTAGTCGACCAAGTCTCTTGACAAATGACGGGTCTTTGTCTTTATTCATGACCAGTAAAAAGATACAATCGGAAAAATAAGGACTAAATAGAAACAGACTGCATCTTGATTAAAAACTCCCCGCCAAAAGTGCTATTGAAAAACTTGAGAATGACCCTTGCAACAAGCCTCTAGATCTTACCAGTTATGCATAATAAGATGCCTCCCAAAGACATCCATCCACCCATTCTCGTCTTCCTCAAGAAACTGAACATGTAATAAGGTGAAAGTGCCTTGTAGACATGTGGGTTCCAATGAAAAATGTTATACAAGCCGAGGGCACTGATGCATAGTAGCCAAATCAAAACAATTGGCGCAAAGAAGAATCCGATCCGATGCGTGCCATAATGTTGCAGGGCAAATAGGCACAGAAGTATGACGCAAGTGATCGGGATCACTGCATCTGCAAAAAGGAGAATTTCATTATAGGCGATGCGAGTAAAATTGTAATATTTTCTTTATGGCTACTTCAAAGTAGCCTTATGAGAATGCCAAATTCCTACTCCTTCTACCTTGTAACTGTTCAAAATGAGGTAGAACAAAATGGAGCTCGAAATATTTTTGTCTGCATATATTACACTAGAAGTTCCAGTTCAATCGACATGGTGCATCAAAGAGGCATAGGTTGAGATAAATGATCTTACTGCTAAGACTTTGGACGAAAACTTACATTCGTGATGTGCCTTAGACATGGAAAACTCAAGGCCAGAAACGGCAGAGAAAACTACATTAAACCACAATAAAGCAATTAGTCAAAGACCAGAGAGATTGAAGCTTCCAATAAGAACCTGCATTCTTCCATATACTCAACAATTTTCAATTGGGGAATGAAAAAATATACCAGAAATTGCAGGAGTGAGCACTCCATCTCCAATTACCATGCAAGTTCCCAAAAGGACCAGTATCAACAAAGCAGTGTGTAAGGCCTTGTGCTTCTCAAGCAACGATTTCATCTTCAAGCTGTTTCTGGTCCCGGGATGGTGCTCCAATTTATAGGTAGAGACCGCTTCATCGGCAGCCTGCCGGTTCGGTAGAAGGCTCACTCTCACATGCCGGCATATCAATGAATAGAGGGCAAATGTTCCACCTTCAACATCATGAGCCAAAAGTTTATTTGGAGACGGAAAAAAGCGAATATGAACAAGCATCACTTAGCTGTTTCGGCGCTTACCCTCCCCATTATCGTCTGCCCGAAGAACAATAAAGACATACTTGAAAAGGGGAAGCAAAGTGAGGGTCCAGAAAACGAAAGAGAGGACTCCAAATATCTCTTCATTGGTATCTGAATGTTGAATATCTTCAGCAAATGTGCTTTTATAGACATAAAGAGGAGATATGCTCAAGTCTCCATACACCACACCGAGGCTTTGATAAGCTAGAATCCAAATTGTCTTCCAAGACTCTTTCTGAAAAGCCATTAGCAGGCAACCCGAAAACAAATCAGCATCTCTCTAGAAGAATAGTAATCTGTGTAACTCCACAAGCTGAAATAGGCTTGAAATTGCACAAGAATTTGAAGTAAATATTCGTGTAAATTTGAGACGAGAGAAATGCACTAACCTTTGAAGAGTCCCAGCACTTGCCACAATCAAGATCCATAACTCTCAGATGCCCCCACCTTCCTTATGAGTTTCTGCTGGTGAAGAAATGAAGCTGCCAAATCTGCCTTCAAATAAGCAGAATTTCTCAGCAAGCAAGACTGGAACTTTGCAACTCAAGAGATAAATGAAGCATCAGACCAAAAATGAGGACACACTTATGCTCACATTCACCACAAAAGAAAGAAACAGATGAAGGCAAAGTAAAAGCAGGGCACATTCGCTCTGTCAGAGTCACATCCCTATAAATTATTTCAGCAAGCAAGCCATGGTTTCTTACCTCCGGAGCCCAGAAGAAGAACGAAATCAAAAGCAGAGCAACCCGACGATTTTGGCTGGAGCGCTTGAGAAACTGCGGCTTAAAATCACTCGACTGAAGTCTCCATAAATGTAAGAGGGCCCTCTTTTAACTACTATGAAGGACTTCATAATGACAATATTCGCTACATGGCTTTTCATTTTCTGTGTTTTTTTTATATGGCACCCTTTTCTTGCAAAAGAGTAGAACCCGTTTCTCACCGTTCGGTTGCTGTCTCATTGAGCTAGAACGCCAACCCAAAATGACAGAGCCATCAAGAAAACAACCCAAAGGGGACAACGGACGAGGAGATGGAAATTACAGCACAGAAGACTGGATTTTGACAGTGTCTTAAGTTCTCTTGTTTCTTCAATCCTCAGAACGTTGGAAGTGATGGCAATGAA